ATAACCTTATTTAAATTAAAAAAAGTAATAAATAAAAAACCGCCTTTTATATTAAGTATAAACTTTATAAATATTAAATAATACCTTTTAGACTTATAAACGCCCTAGTATTCTTTTAAAAAATAATTAACTATATATTATAAAACTATATAAATTATTTTATTATTATATACCTTAATAATATTCTTATTTACTTTAAAAACCTAAAAAAATATAAAAAATATATTAAAAAAGTATTATAAATACTCTAAAATAACTAACTCCTAATAAAACCTAAAAAATATAACTTTTACACACAGAAGGTTATATTCCTAAGATATATTATTACCCTAGGAAAAATCTAAATAAACCCTAAAAAACTTAAAGTAATTAATAACTAAAAACCCCTAAAAAACGTTAAGTAAATATAAAGCTTTCTAAAACTTATTAATTACTACTAATATTTTATTAAAAACTTTTTAAAAATTACTATACTATTTATAAACTTAACTAAAAAGGATATTAAATTTAAACTAATATAAAATACTTTAATTACCTTTAAATACCTTAAATAAGCCCTTATTACCGCCCTAGTACTTATAATATTTAACCTTAATAAACCTATTATAATTAAAACTAATACCTTAGATTATATAATTAGTAAAATACTTTAATAACTAAATAATATACCTAAGAAAAAACTTAGGCTTATTACTTACTTCTTTAAGAAATTAAATAAACTAAAACTTAAATACCTTATTTATAATAAAGAGTTTATAATTATATATTAAATACTTAGTAAGTAGTATTAAAAATACTATTATAAAAAAAGCTAATTTTTAATTATTATTTTTATAAATTACTAAAATATTACTTACTTTATAATAATATAAAAACTATTTTATAAATAAATTAAATATTATAAATAACTTTTTAAATTTAAACTTATTATTAAATACTATAATAATTTAAATAATAAATATACTAATATATTTAGTAAATACCTAAATTACTTTTAAAAAATCCTAAAAGTTAAAGCCTAAGTATTAAAAAAAAACTAATATAAAAATCTTATAATTAAATCAATTAATATAATATACTAAATTAAAATAAATAATTTAATTATTAATAATATAAAAAAATATATTAAAAACTAAAAAAATAAATAATACCTAAAAGGCATTTTTATAAATACTAAATACCTAATACTAAATAAACTTATTTAAATACTAAAAAACTTATAAAGTAAAATAATAAAATCAATTTATATACACAAGCTTAATAAATACTATAAAATATAAAAAATTACCTAGTAAGTTATATAATACTTTAAATTTAAAAATATTAAAAAATAAATACAAAAAGTTATATTTAAATATATAATATATAAATAAGCCAAGGTATTACGCTATCTTTTTTATAAAAAACTATAACCCTTACTAATTTTAGTAAAAAATTAAAAATCTATAATATTTAACTATATTATTAAGCTTTTACTTTCTAAAAAACCTATAACTAATAAAATATAAAATAGTATTTTTATAATAGTTAACTAACTCTTAAAAATAACTTACTTTATCTTAATTACTAAGAAAAACTTTATAAAAAACCTAGCTTATATTTTTTTCTAAAATATTTACGCCTACTATAAACTACTAAATAAAATTATCTTTAATAAAAAATTAATATTTATATTAAAATTCTAATAATTACTTATAGTAAAAATTAAACTAAAACATAAAGCTAGTATAGCTTACTACCCCTAAATAAATAAATAAACTAAGTAAATTAACTAAATTATTAAAACTTACTTATAATATTATATTAACTTTAATTAAAATAATTAAGTAAAATACTTATTAACTGCCTAAGTATTTTATAATAATATACTAGTAAAATCTATAAATTACTTACTATTTTACGTAAACTATAAGTTTAAACTAAATCTACACTAACCTCCTATTAAAAAAGAAAATACTAGTAAAACTATTATTATAATAAATAAACTTAAGAAACTATATTAAAAATTATAAATATAACTTAAATTTATTAAAAAATAAATAACTAAATTTATAAATACTAAAAAAATTAAAAAACTAACCTTTAAAAAGGGGAATATAGTTTACTTACTCTAGCACTTATAAAATAATAAATAACTAAATATTAAAACTAATAGGCTAAGTAATAAACTTAACTTTAAAAAACTTAGACTTTATAAAGTTATAAAGAAAATTAAACCTATTAACTATAAAATAAATCTTCCACTTACCCTAGGATAATAAAAAAGAACTATATATTTAAATTTTTATATCTTACTACTAAAAAAAACACTAGTAAATAAAAAAATAAGTAAAGTTATATAGGATAAAATTATTATTTAAAGTAAAAAACTTAAATATAAAATTAAAAAACTTAAAATAATAAAATTTAATAAAAATACCTAATAAATAAAATACCTAATAAAATAAAAAAGCTATAATAAAATAAAAAATTTATAATAACTTATTAAAAACCTTAAATACTTAAAAAACCTTATAAACAACTTTTATTAAAACCTAAGTCTAATAAAAAAAAGTCAAAGGCACCCTAATCAATAGTATTAACTACAGAACCTATAATTACAAAATTAATTAAATTAAATAATAAAAATACAGCTTAAAAAGCAGCCTTTGCCTTATACTCCTTCCTTTTTAATTACTCTAGCTCTGCTAAATTATTAATACCCTAAGACATTATATATACTGCCTTTTTAAACTATTCCTTATATTATTTCTAAAAATAAATAACTTTAGCTATAAAATTTATAATTTTCTTTTTAATAACTTTAACCTTACTATTAAGCTAATTACGCTAATAAAAAATATATAATAATTATTAAAATATAAAAAATACCTTATAATAAAATTTATAATCCTTAATACACTTTAAATAATAACTTAAGTTAACCTTAAAAGCTAAATACTAAAATCCTTTCTTTTTATAATAAAAACAGGGTTTTATTTTAATAAATTATAATAATATAAAAGTAGTAAATACTATACTCCTATTAAGTTTCTTTTTTTTTCCTTTTATATTAGCTAAATTAGTAAATTTTTAAATATAAAAAGTTATTTTAGTAATAAATAGGTAATAAAATAAAAAAAAACACCTATAGGTAAAAGTATAAATACTTATATACTAAATTACCTAATCTTAGGGATAAAACTAATAAAAAAAAGAGAATTATATTATAACCTAGCTTTTATAATTATAATAAAAGGCCTATAGAATAGGCGCTCTTAAATTAACATTAGGCTGCATAGCTAATTAGAAAGTAGTTAATAGGAATTAATATTAATTTTAATTAATATATAAATAAATTAATTAAAATTATAATTAATTCTACTTAACTCTAAAATATATAATTAAATATATAAGTTTACTTTATATTACTTATTAAAATACTTAAATAGCTAGTTATTATTACAGCCATAGCGTTTATAATATAATTAAATTAAAACCTAGACCTCTACTCTTATTTATATTATTAGCTAATAACAAAATTACCTATTAACTAACCTAATCGCTCCGCTAACATAAACTATAAAACCTCTCTAAGGTTTATCCCTTAGGAAAAGCACTATTTATACTAATATATAGGCACCAGTTTATTATATCTCTATAAATTCATTATACTAAGTAAAGTTGCTTACTTAATAAGCTGTTTCTTAACCTATAATAGCATAGCCTAATGGACCTGTTTTCTTACAATGCTATATGCTTATTCTAAAATTAGTCTGCAAGGTTTAAATCTAAAGGTATCCACCAACGAATTTTACAAGGTAATACAGTAGTATCAGACAAAGATTCTTGCAAAAGTACAACTTCACAATCGATTGTGGATTGCATTGTCTTACTTTAATGTAACATATCAGTTGTGTATCTAAGGCACTAACGGGGATCAGCCACTATTACTGTAGAACCTCGCAAAACTCGTTTATGGGCCGTTGTATATAAGGTGTCATACTAACTTAAGGACGTTAGCCTATTACTTCTCTCAATTAAACAGGGTATAACTATGGGGAGACCTACAAACGAGTTTTGCGAGGTCTTACAGTATCAAGGTACGTTAACGGAGCAACCGCAGTACCACCAGCACCAGACCCTGAACCCAAATCTCCCACCCAGCACCGGCGGGCCGCCATACCCGTGGTGACTGATCTAGTGGCCACGCTACTGCTAGTTGTAAGGAACTGCCCGAGCCGAGGCCCTAGAGGCTAAGCAACAGGGACCGGCTTCCCAGCGATTACATGCATATTTGATGACCCGCAGTATCTCAGCGTCGAACACATACACCCACTAGGACAGGCAAGGTTATATCAGTGTGTTAAATGTGCAGTAGTATTACATATAGAGTAAATGTTAGGCCAACTGGAGCAAATGGTATATTTATGTAAATAAGTTTTACTTATAAATATTATGTTATATTAATATGGTTCTTGCTTACATTGTGTTATGATATAGGTGAGTTTATAAATACAATAAGTATATTATGAATACACCAAGAAATATAAATAGAAATGTTTTATTATATATATATTCTTTCTTTCCATAGATAGCTATGCCTGTAGTTGTACCTATACACTAGTCCATTTGTAATGTGTTGATGGGAAAACTATCCACAAACCTCATGCCTGCCAATGATAGGACAACCCTCCTATTGCATTTACATTGCAGGTAATAGCACGTTCGCTATTATATCCATGGTCTGTCACGGAATTACGGAACGTACACACATCTTTGAAGGCCTCAAGGTTACACTTTACCCCTCACACACCGCTACTGCTTAGAAATGCTACAAGTATTGCTACTCAACTATCTCTTAAATATTGAGGTGATCACTACTGTGATAATGTTAATTTCATCAAGAAGATTTCTCTGTTTCTCAGAAGATAAGCCTCCGTGCTCCTTTTCTATAGAGGAATTCAGATCACAACCTTGCCGAGCATCGCCAAACAAGCGAAACCTCTAATCAATTTGCAATGGCTGCTTCAACAAAAACCACGCCATTACCCCTAAGCTCCGACAGTGATCTCACCAGCAAACAAGTAGACGTCAGTCGTGAATACGAAGCCGGGCAAGAACAACATAGCTCTGCAACTGAACCAATTCACAATGCATCTGGACTCCCTCATGACCTAGAAAAAGATACTACCGCTCCCAGTACAACCTCTCCAGAGCAGGTAGCTACTGTGAGAAACTATTCCGGCTTCCGCTGGTTCCTTGTGTGCTTCTCCCTATACTCTTGCGCCTTCTTGTTCGGCCTCGATGGAACTATAGTAGCGGACATCCAAGCCCCCGTTATCGAAGCGTTTGGAGCTGTCGAGAAGCTCTCCTGGCTCGGCGTCGGCTTTCCGCTCGGCAGCGTCGCGTCGATCCTCTGCATTGGACGGGCCTTTGGTGACTTTGACGTGAAATGGGTCTTCATCGTCAGCATGGTAATGTTTGAGGCTGGATCAGCTCTCTGTGGTGGTGCGCCAAGCATGAATGCGATGATCATAGGTCGTATCTGGGCTGGCGCCGGTGGTGCAGGCACGTACCTCGGCGTCCTCAACATCATCTCCATCAACACTTCTCTACAGGAGAGGCCGTTGTACATGTCCCTCTGCGGCCTAATCAATGGAGTCGGATTTGTCCTCGGCCCCATCATCGGAGGGGCCTTCGCCAACAGCTCAGCCACCTGGCGCTGGGCGTTCTACATCAACATTCTCATTTTTGCCGTCTGCTCCCCCGTCTACGTCTTCATCCTCGAGCCCTTCGATCCGCAACCAGGGAAGACCTGGAGCAACAAAGTGAAGAATATCGACTGGATCGGAGTCGTCCTCAACGCCGCGATCTACGCCTGCTTGGTCTTGCCCGCGACCTTCGGCGGCACCCAGTGGGCTTGGGGAGACGGCCGCACCATCGCCATGTTCGTCGTCTTGGGCGTGATCCTCGTTGCCTTCGCCATCCAACAAACCTTCTCCATATTCACCACCCCAGAACGTCGCATCTTCCCCATCGACTTCCTCCGCAGCCGCACCATGGTACTGCTTTTTATAGTTACCTCCGCAGCCTCCACCTCCCTCTTCATTCCTATGTACTATATCCCCCTGTTTTTCGGCTTCGTGCACGGCGACTCCAACATCGAAGCCGCGGTTCGCTTGCTCCCCCTTATCGCCATCACCATCTTCGCAACCATGGTCAACGGCGCGCTGATGCCGCGCTTCGGCTACTACATGCCTTGGTATTTCGTCAGCGGCATTTTACTCATACTCGGGGGCAGCCTGCTGTACAGCATGGAGCACACCACGACGCCCAACTCGACCATATACGGCCTAAGCGTATTAGTCGGGTTCGGCGCCGGGTTCGCGCAGCAGGTGGCGTTCACCGTTGCGCAGTCGAAGACGGGAGTCAATCGTATCGCGGACGCGGTTGGGTTCATCAGCATCGCGCAGCTTGGCGGGATGCTCATCGCGTTGACCATCACGGGCGCGGTGTTCCAGAACGTGGGTTTCCAGCTTGTAAGCGATGCGCTGCATGGCCTGGGCTTCTCGGCCAAGGATATCCATGCAGCGCTGGCGGGCGCGAAGTCAACGATTCTCACAAGCGTCACCCAAGAGGTGCGTGAGAGGGTTGTGGAGGGAATCGTGAAGGCGATTAGTGATGCGTATATACTTGTGGTTGTGGCGGGTGCATTGATGCTAATCAGTGCGTGTTTCATGAAGAGGGAGAAGTACATGGAGATTGGTACCAATGCTCAATAGCTGCTATGGAGATGTATATTATAATTGAAGCGAAGGTCCCAAAAAAGCTCACGGGAACCTTGCGAGCCATAATGGAGTAGCAGAGTTTACAACCTCTGTGGATATATAGTAAAGAGGTTGTTAAGCGTATTATAATTGTTAAATCCATACCATTGGCTAATTCTTGAAGCTAAACTATTGGCTGAGGTCGGTCGTTTTTGAGAAGGTTGTGATGATGTAATTCGACGGCTTTGATGGAGCTGTTTCTGGAGTTTATTTGGATGGCTTAGCCCTACAATTCATTGCGGTGTCCTTTGGTGTTGTTGGCGTTTTGAAGATAAGCTTTGTAGCTTTATCTCCTCCAGTCATTGATCACTAGGACTTGGGCTTCGCTCTCGTTTAGCCCGTCTAGAGCTCGCACTTTGAGAAATAGATATTATATTTGTGAGTAAAAGCTTGAATATTGTGAAAAATTGGTGGTTGCAAGCTTTTTCAATCTATAGATTAGAAAAGTGAGGGCGCCTTTTCGATCTATGGTTAAGGAAGCTCCATGCGTTTACGTGTCCTTTCGACCATCATGAATCTCCATCAAATGCCATAAATACAACTTTTGTGAACATGATTTAAATATTTTACATAGCTTTGGTGAGCTTAACATAGCATCGCTTAGGAGCATGCACTAATTTATCTATCGCGCCATATCCACTCAACTTCTCAGGACATTCTTCAAGCTGAAAGTTCCAGATGAGTAGTGTTATGAAGATCTTCAATTCTGAGGAAGCCATGTTTCGTCCGGAACAGCCTCTTGGCCCAAGGCCAAACGTAAGCAATGGTCCCGCTGCGCTGTCAAATACCTTCTGACCATTCTCCTCCACCAGCCATCGTTCAGGGTCAAACACGTCCAGATGCTTTGGATCCCAGCTGGAGACTTTACCCTTTTTCTGGCTGGTGAGATAAGACTGACTGCGTAGGGAGTCTTCGATTTGAAATGCAGGCGCAAAAAAGCTAGGGCCGTTGCCCATAAAAAAGACTTCCGTACCTTTGGGGACTCGGTGGCCGAGCAGCTCCACGTCAACCATAGCAGTACGGGCAAGGGCGGATTCAGCGCGAGAGCATCGAATAATCTCTTCAATAGCAGCATCTCGGTAATGACAGTTAATACCGCGAATCTCTTCAAAGGTGGGATACCTTTTCTCAGCGTTGGCTTCGGGGTATATGGCGCGGAGTTCGGCTCGAAGCTTATCTTGGACTTCGGGGTAATCAGCTAAGAACTTGACGGCCCAAGTAATGACTGTCCCGGTAGTGTCATGTGCGGCGACGAGGACTGTCAGGATCTAATGATCGGTAGGTTAATATGGGCCGTTCGAACTCTTCGGGTGGAGCATTGCATACCTCGTCAAAAAAACTCCTAGAAATAATCTCGGGCCGTCTGTGTTCTTTCTCCGCCATAACTGCTTCTTTATCGATCATATCATCGATGGCAGATTTAATATTGGCAGTGGGTATGGCCGAGCTCCCTGACCCGGCTTGACGTCTGTTGATCGCTTTCGCTATCTCGTTCTTGATAAAATTCTCCTTAATCTTGAAAGCCCTCTTCCAGGTGCTGGAAGTTTGTCTCAAAATCCAGTGCGAGACTCTGGGCCAGGGAGACCTGATAGTTGATTCATAACTCTCCGTGATATCGATAACGGACTGAAGGGTTTCGGGGACCGGTGCTCGAGGCAGGTCCACTTCCGCGTCTTTGTTCTGAGGTAGTGGTAAGGCTTCTATTCCCTCGAGTAGCTCTACTTGAGCTCTTGTAACGGTTTGTATGCCAGGAGCCTCTCCAAATACAACGGTCCAGATGGCGTCAAGGGCCACATAATACACGTCGTGCGCGGCGGCGAAGGGGTGACCCTGGGCAAGCCTGGACTTTTCCTCCCAGAGTCGCATAAAGTCCAGACAAACATTATACATATGAGGAACAACAACATTCTTCTGAAACCCAGGCATCATAAGCCCTTGCACCCATCTGCTCTGTCGTTTATAGAGATTGTCGCCGAATCTTTTGAAGATATGACTTTCGGGCATAATTCCTCCTGAAACCTCGCTCCAATAGTAAGACCTATCAAACTCCTTGGTGCGCCGCACCATGACATCTTTCGACTCTTGGTAGTCGGCTACGACCACACATGGTTTAGAGAACGGTCGAGCAAAGAGTTGTATAATGGGTGATTGAAGCTTAACATTCTGTGTTGCCATCCAGTCGTGAAGCTCCTGAGTCTTCATAGAATGTTTAACCATGGCGGGGATATCACCCAATAAGGAACTTTTGGCCTCCTTGTTGAATGGAATGCCGGGAATGGGCTTAGGTAGTAGCCATAGATAGAACAGATACAAGGAGGCGGTTATGGCAATTGCATAAAGGGCGAGTGAGCTTTGACTCGCTACAGAGAGCTTGTCCAACATATCCATTATGGAGTATTATTTGTGAATAACTCGAAGAGGTGAGAGTTAAAGTAGCGGAATATAAGTTGAAAAAAAAGGAGTTGAAGTTTCGGGACATCTAATTTATATTAGTCTTGTGTCATCGTCCAGCACAACCTAAGCTGAATAAGTTGCTGTTGCCAAGTATTGATTACTATTATTACAATATTGACAAATTTTAATTTATCAAATACATATCCGAGCTTATGCTTTTGCAAGGGCCAACTACTCCCCTTGATTAAGCTCGAATACAACATTCCCTCTTACTAAAGGTCCTCTGTCGCAATTGTATTTTTATTATTCACATCTTATTACTAATTTAGTAAGGCAACTGGTAATGTTATAAGTAATAATCCCGGTAGATAAGCCGATGATCTTCATCAAGCAGGGGTAGAGTAGATATTGAAGTATATGCGGTGGTATTCGGAGTAACTAACTCCGAGGGAAGGCCCTTTAATATAATACTAGTATACCAGTTGGTTCTACTTTAGTAACTTACTGTGAGTCAAGGGCATTGGAACCTTAAGGAGATCTAGGATTGTATAACGTTAGGTATAATGCCATATGCTTTTAGTATAGTATACTCAAGTACCAAAAGGATATAAATATAGGATTGTGTATAATATATTAATATTAATAAAATTGACTTTGTTTATAATTATGAGTGTTTATAATTATGAGAATAAATACAAATAAAGATAATATAAAATATAATTTACTTTTATTTAATAATATATTATAAAATCTCAAGGTTTTAATTAAACATATAAATTTAATTAAAGTAAATGATTTATTATATAATATTCTGAATAATAATATTTTAATATTTAAATAATACTAAAAATGCTTAAAACTATTTTTTATTTAAGTTTATTATCAAAATTTAACATACAATATAATACAAATAGAATTCTTTTTTCTTAATATTTAATCAAGTTTTACTTTACTATAATATAAAATTATTATTAAATAAATATTCCTCTTAATATTTATATTTCTATTATTATTCCCTCTATTATATTCTTTAGTAAATAACTTACTATGTAACCAGTAACTTATATTAAATTAATAAAATAAATGCACGTAAAGTATACTCTCTGCTATTAAATCTCTTTATCAAGTAGTACTCTATACTACCTAGGCCATTTGACGCTGACTGGGGGGTTCCTCTCAGTATCAGCTTACTGCTGACCTACTCTGACAAACCGTGCTGTACGCTGACCAGAGATGTCAGGGGATAGTCAGGCAAGTTTTTATTCCAACTCAAGCAGTCTTCAACCGTTCCTCTTATCACGCAAGATAGCTATTAAAGCATAGTAAATCTCTGTGTCATGATGCAACCTCCCGGGACAAGACCATCTCTCTCTCTCTTTTTTACTCACTGGAAAGACTAATTCCTCGAAGACCCTTTTGGATTCCCAGACGGTAATTTAAAGACGCCATGGAATTGTCAGCGTTCGACGATAACTTCGTCAATCGATCCGTCAACGTCAGCCTATTACTTGTCTTTGACGCCATTCTTGATGCCGAGAGGCTTCATAGCACATTAGAAGCACTGGTAAGATCAGAGCATTGGAATAGGATCAGTGCAGAGCGAAAGACGCGGGTAAGTCATAAACTGAGATACAATAACTTATCTGCCATTGTGAAGTGGCGGAGTTAGAATTCGATGCTGATTACTCTTTCGTTCTAGAATGGCCGGATGATTCTATGCCAATCTGAAAACCCAGATGACTCAGTTTCACCCATTGAGTATATGCATACCGTACAAAAAAGCCGAATATTTGAGCACCCCAAGGTTGCCAAGCTTCTTGGAACACCAACTGTGCCCACTGTCCTCGGTACTATAACAGATATTCAAGACACACTTTGTCTCTCAGTGGAGGGCTTTGGGAAGCGGCTGGATAAACAGCTCGGGCTGCACGTCGTCTCTTTCTTGGACGCTACTTCTATCATTCTCCGCTGGCATCATACGTTATGTGATGCTACGGGGATGGGTTTGATCGTGCAAGCATGGACTGCGATGTTGAGAAGCGATCCTGCAGGCGTTCCAAACATCATGAGTACCAACGTGGATCACTTGGCTGACGTTGGTCGGAATCCACCTGAACCGCACTATCTCGAGTCCCAGAGGATGACATTCTTGGGGTCTCTGGCCAAGTTGACCTACGAGAATTTGGGGGGCATATTCTCCGGGTGGGAAACAAGAGCCGTGTGTCTCCCGGCTGCGTTTCTCAAAAATTACAGGGCACACGCGGAGGCCAATCTAGACTACTCTGGCCAGGGACACAAGCCCGAGTTTCTCACCGACGGCGACTTGATAAGTGCATGGTGGGCGCGTTTGCTAATATCCTCCCAAACCTCCACGCCATCAGACAGATCTGTGTTGATCAACAACGCGGTCTCCTATCGGTCTGCGCTACAGCCGAATCCCCTTCCCGAAATCGCAGGGTTCCTCCCCAACGCGGTAGGCTTTGCAACAGCCATGATCACTGTTAAAGACGTTCTGGAAAAGAACGTGAGCTACATTGCCTGTGCAGTCCGGGACTCCATTCTGAAAGCGAGAACCAGAGGACAAATAGAGGCGTACGCGTCATTACTTCGAAACTCGCCGCAGCAGCTGTTCCCTCTGTTCGGTAGCGCATCTACCTCCCTCGTGTTTGTTACGAACTGGTCCAAATCCAACTTTTGGGCCACAACCTTTTCTGGCGCAGAAGCCGGAGATGTAGCAAGAGATAATACTGGGCAAGTGGGAAGCGGCTTGCCCCGGATCTTCGCAGCTTGGCCGACGCCAAATTTTATGAATGGGATGATAATATTAGGAAAAGATGCTGTGGGTAATTACTGGGTGAACATTACACTGACGGCGAAACTTTGGAATAAGTTCGAACCTTTGATGAAGAAGGAAACTGAGCGTATTTATGCTTCGACGAGTTAGAGAATAGCGGAAGGAAGCGAATTGAATAAATTGTTTGTTTGTTTGCTTTGATATTAATGACCCTCAGTATGTAGTTACCATAACACATATAAACAAATGGGCCACAGAGATGGGAAAGCACCTCTGGGAGAGGCACTGGCATAACACTATGCTCAAGAGCTGCAAAGGATAGCGCCTAAAACTACACAACCTACCGGAAGAACTCAGCCTTAACGGAGGCCTCCTACACCGTTTGTACTCGGAAAGGTCAGGTCACGGAAACTTACAGAGCGTTCAAGACAGGTTCAACCACGAGATAAAGAACAAATGTAACTGCCGGGAGAGACAAGAAAGCAAGTGGCCGGATGCAGACTCACGGTCCAACTCCTACTCGAGATGCCAGAAGGCACCCCGGAAGACTACTTCCTCGTCGGAAGGAACTGACACAAGAGATTGCAACAATTCGTCGAAGAAGCGGACCCCTACTGGCCGCCCGAAACACCCACCGATTGTCCCAACACAATCTTTCCCTTTGTAACCCCTGGAGTGAAGTGAACGAAGGGCTAGTTCCCGGCTTCTATAGTCCTATTGCCGATTGCGGATTTATGCGTCTACATACTTAGTGAACGATTGATAATGAAACAAACGAAAAAACAAATAAACAAAACAATGATATATCTCAATATTAATTTATTTATTAATACTTATATTGGAAGTAGTATCTCCTGCAGGGAAGACAGTTGTCTTACTTGGGTAGGATAATGCAGGTAAGACAGTAATCATACTTAAGCAGGGTGCAGTAAATATTATAGCACACGCAGTAGCATTCGGCCAGAAAATAGAGCCGATCTAGTAGTATTCGGCGAAAGTAAACCGACTGCAATATCAACATTATCGCAGCGCTTTCTTATACCCTCCCTAAGGGGTACTCAAGTAAAACCATTATCAAAGGCGCTTAACCACTTTAGCTAAATAAGCAAAACAAAACCAGGATACTGCTGGGATTGTATGCACAGTCATCAGTTTGTTTACGAAGCGTTGGGATGCCAGGTTCTTAAAGAATACCCGTAAACGCATGTAATACAAGGAGGGGCTAGCAGCCCTACTGCGTTACATCTCCGGGCAAAATTCTGACCACACCGTTGATGTATATTATGACCTAGTTCACTGTAATAGCTGGGTCCTTTAGAAGATAGCTGGTTCCATTAAAACAATCGCTACGATTGGGATTATTAGCCTAATCTTTTGGCCTATTTGGTGTAATAGTTAATGGCCTGTAATATGTATCTTGCAGTCAGTTATAATTTAAATCCCATCACAGAGTGACCTGCTCTAGAAACAGCGAGAGGAGAGAGTAAAGAGCATAGTACTGTAAAACTACAATTCTTAATGTTCAAAAATTCTAGGCAGGATTGCTAAATTAATTCCTGAGTACCCGTAAGTATAGACAAGATCCAAGAAGCTAATTCCCGCGTGTATTTTTATGTATAACGGATGTACCCTGAATTCGATCACATTTTGATTGGCTTAGGGCTGGAAAGATACACGAATGCTGCTTGAACACTTTGAATGAGATTGTTAGTTGAGAGTGCTAATTAACCACAAGTATACTATTAGCTAAAATTGGCTCAGATTAATTGAGTTTTCTTTAGTTAACTAACTAAACTGGCAGTTACTAATTAACAACCTTGTTGCTCAAGTCATTCTTGCAACTCGATATTTAGCCTAATTAATATCTAATACAAATTTGACCTGTAAGTCAGCCAACACCTGACTGTCGTCCCCACTCAATACATCTAAGTGACCCTTTCCCAACGCAACATGCATCTTCTTCGGCGTCGGAAAGCTATCAAACCACTTGATCTGCGTTTCTGGGGGAGACATCAGATCGTTCTCGGGGATAATCATCAGAATGGAAGCGCGGGAGGGTCTGACATGGAGATATCTCATAACCTCGAACGGCTGCCAGCTGATCAACCTGTAGTATGTTTGCAAGGTCGTCTGGTTCTCGTAGTTAGGCGCACCGTGGTCCTTTACGTTCATCATATATTCGAATCCTGCATCATCGACATCCATCCCCATCCCGGCGGGATTCTCTCGCTTTTCTGTCAACACGGGAAGAAAAGTAGGCGTGTTGCCTAAGATTCTGGATTCTCGATCCTATTTTATACATGTCATTTGATCAGTTGCATGCCTATAAGTCAATCAACTACATCACTTCCAACCCCTTACCTTCATAGTCTTCCTCAGCACTCGAGCTAGCATATCTTGTCTTGGCTTGGGCTCGACCAAGGGACACACTGCAATGCACCATTTGGCTCTCTCATCCAGCGAGGCAGCACATAACGCAACAGTGGCACCATAGGACATGCCCCAAAAACCTATCATAGCTGGGTCGACAATGGGAAGAGTTTTCATGAAACTCAGTGCATCTGAGAAGTCAGACACTTGCATTGTAGGATCCACCTCGTTCCTTGGCTCTCCGTCACTTTGCCCCAGAGAGCGAGTATCATAGATTAACGCCGTGATGTTGGAATTTTGGAACTGCTCTGCAACTTCAGGTACAAACATCTCTTTTACACAGTTAAACTAGTATACGACGGTATAGAAATCGTGTCAGTCTTATAACCTCGGATATTCAAAGCATTTTAAGAAGATTGAGAAGTATTTACTTACCCCGGGATTGATGATAATAGCAGGTCCACGGGTCTGAGCTGGAAAAAGCCATCCTCGGAGGATCAGACCATCGAGGGTTGGGAATTCGACCCATTGACGATTGGAAGTCATAATAGATAGAACTCAGGATAGATTATGACCGTGATTGGAAAATGGGAAGAAAAAAAATTAAGAGGGTGGACAACCAGTCTCTATACTCCCTCCTGTTGTGTGGCCCGTGGGGTAATGTTATAGCGACTGACGGTAGAACGAGAAGGACCTTGAGTTTCCTTCCTATTCCTGCTGAAACAAGAGGTTCGGTATTGTGGATAGTGGATACCTACAACCAGGGTGAACACGAGACCAACTTGAAGCGGAGATTATGTTGATTTTTTTAGTATCTTTTCTCCGGAGAGCTAGTTGTATATGGTTTTCCGGGATATAGATTATGCTTCTGAGCCCTTATCGTACGATATACAAACCTGTCTTTTTCATTTGTCTACGGCCCGGGAAACAGATTATCCTCCATACAAGGGTAATAAGCATAGGTATTACATTAGTCTAAGCACAGTCATTATATTACTCTATGAAGCTGTGGGATACTAGGTTCCCAAACAATATCCGTGAATGTATGTAATACAAGGTGTGCCGTAAAATCACCGCCTGACTTAGGAATGTACAGATACTGACTTTGACTTTTCCTACTATGGTCTAGTAGCAAGATGCAACCGGGGTAACTGGTTAGTTTGTAAGAAGACCCACAATATAATATTCCAGGGTTTACAGTACCCTAGTGTTGAAACATAATCAATATGTTGAAATTCAGCTGTATAATTGATGACTCCTTGTGCCTACTAGCTATTTATTAGCAATAGCTAAAACTAAACTTCCAAAAACGGGAAATTAATTTAATAATATTCTGGGGTTATAAACCTGCTATTAATTCACTTAAAGTTATTTAAAAAAATTCTTATTTATTTAATTATTATATATTTAATAAATATAAAGGTATATAATTTAGTTATATAATATTAATAAAAATTCAATTATAAATTATTTCTTTTGGAGCTTGATAATTAAAAAATAAATTAAAAAACTATTTTTATTAATAATAACTATATAAACAATCTGATGTAATCAAGTTACTAATTTATTACTTATGTATAATTATTATGAAATATTCAAATTAAGTGAATTTACAATTATATTATTTAATCAGCGTAATATCAAAAATATTACAATCTAGCTTTTCCAAACACAAGATAAGGAATTATTATGGGTTTGCAAACCTGTATCCTTCTTCCTGTATGGGACCCCAATATCTCCAATCGGAGTATAGTATGTAAGACAGAGTCTATAAGAAGTCTTCCTTTATTTACGTTCTATCGCCTCTTATTCGAACTTCTCTATACTTATCTTATCCCCCACCGTTTTCCTCCTCTTCACAATATCCCAATAAAAGCAATGGATGTCAACCAAACAGCGCTGTCACTCTCCCGAGAGAATGACAAATTCTTGCAAAAGCCCCTCGCCATCGTCGGGCTTGCCTGTCGCCTGCCTGGTCACAGCACAACCCCTAAGAAGCTGTGGGACTTGTTGGAACGCGGCGGCATAGCCAATAACCAAGTGCCCAAAACTCGCTTCAACGAGAAAGGACATTATGACGGATCTACGAAGCCAAAGACCATGCGGTCACCAGGTGGCATGTTCATCGAGGACATTGATCCGAAGGACTTTGACGCTTCCTTCTTTGGTGTCTCGGGCAGCGATGCCACAGCTATGGATCCTCAACAGAGGCAGCTGCTGGAGGTTGTGTACGAATGCATAGAGAACGCTGGCGTTCCCATCGAGAACCTGAGCGGAGCCAAGATCGGTTGCTATGTAGGGTCCTACGCCGTGGACTACGGTGACATGCAAGCGCGTAACCCTGAAGACCGAGTGCCTGATACGGTGATCGGGATGGGGCGTGCCATGTTAAGCAACCGGATAAGCCATGCCTTCAACTTCAAAGGGCCTAGCATGACGATAGACACGGCTTGCTCGGGCAGTTTGGTGGGACTGGATGTCGCTGCGCGCTACCTGCACACAGGGGAGGCAGATGGCGCAATCTGTGCTGGCGCGAACCTCTATTTCAGCCCGGAGCACAATATTGACTTGGGCGCTATGAAGGTCGCCGGCTCTCTGTCTGGTCGCTGTCATACTTTCGACGCCAACGCGGATGGATACGTCAAGGCCGAAGCGATCAACGCGATCTATGTGAAGCGGCTGGAGGATGCGGTCCGCGATGGGGACCCAATCCGAGCAGTTATTCGAGGTGTTGCTTCGAACAGTGACGGCCGTACACCGGGCATAGCTAGCCCTAACGACGAGGCTCAAGCAGAAGCCATCCGTTGTGCCTATGCCAACGCTGGTATCACCAACTTCAATGATACGGCTTATCTAGAATTCCACGGAACGGGCACCCAAGCAGGCGACCCACAAGAGGTGAAGGGTGTGGCTTCTGTATTCTCGGCCTCAAGGTCACCAGAGAGACCTCTGATCATCGGGTCAGTCAAGAGCAACATTGGACACTCGGAACCAGCGGCTGGTGTTTCCGGGGTTCTCAAGGCGGTTCTAGCCATCGAACACGGCGTCATTCCTGGTAATCCTACATTCATCACCCCTAACCCGAAGATCGACTTTGAAGGATGCCGTGTCCGCGCGATTCGACACAAGATCCCCTGGCCGGCAGCTCCCTTCAAACGTGCCAGTGTCAACTCTTTCGGCTATGGAGGCTCCAATGCTCACGTCATTCTGGAGGAACCTAAAGTCTTGCTGCCGGGTTGGGAAGATACTCACTGCTCCTCATACGCAGAGGGGGCCAGTCTTTTTGACGATGACGACGAAGAAGAAGGGATGAGTAGTCACCCCAGTCAAGGGCAGAGGCCTTTCCTCTACGCATTTTCCGGCAATAACGAAGCCTCGCTCAAGGCTAACGTTAAAGCGTTGAAGAATCACTTGACCAATCCAGCTGTCAAAGTGTCTCTAGCTGACTTGGCGTATACCCTAAACTTGCGAAGGTCTCGCCACTTCAACCGGGGATACATGGTCAGCTCAGCGGCCCCTGTGGACGAGCTGGCTCTAGTCACAGGCAAGCAGATGGCCAGCGATGTCAAGATCGGATTCATATTCACTGGTCAGGGAGCGCAGTGGCCACAGATGGGCAAGGCCATTATCGAGGCCTTCCATCCTCACGCCAGCGAGATCATTGCCGAGCTAGACCAGGCTCTACAGTCCAGCGTGGCGCCCCCGAAATGGACTCTGCTGGAAGAGCTGACGGCTCCTAGAGATGTCAGCCATCTCCGGCTGCCAGAGTTCTCGCAGCCCCTTGTCACCGCCCTGCAGATCGTGCTGATCGAAGTCCTCGCTCGGTGGGGAGTCAAGCCACAGAGTGTCGTAGGCCACTCTTCTGGTGAGATTGCAGCTGCGTACGCGGCCGGGCTGTTAAGCAAGAAGGATGCCATCCGAGCGGCTTATCATCGAGGACATGCTGCGGTTGCTGACTCTGCCTCTACCCCCAAACAGGCGACTAAGAAGTTAGGCATGATGGCTACCGGCATTGGAGCGGCAGAGCTAGGTCCTTACCTGAATGGGCTGGAAGATAGGGTACAGATCGCCTGCTACAACAGTCCTACGAGCTTGACCTTATCGGGAACTTTGGATGGGCTGGAGGAGGTGCGCGCCAAGTTGATAGAAGATGGGAAGTTTGCTCGATTGCTACAAGTTGACCTCGCCTATCATTCCACCTTCATGAAGACCACTAGCTCGGGGTATATGAGCCTGCTGAGCCAAGATTTTGCTCAGGATGGTCCCCTTAAGGTCCCCTCTGGTGTTTCTGGAGAAAATGATGCCGTTCAGATGTTCTCCTCTGTCACGGGCAAGCGCATGGACAGGGCTGCCGATGCCGAATACTGGAAAAGCAATATGATATGCCCCGTCTTGTTCAGCCAGGCTCTCGAGCAGATGATTACCGCCAAAGAGGGAGCTGCCAACTTTCTGATTGAGATTGGTCCCAGCGGAGCCCTGAAGGGTCCCGTCTCTCAGATACTCAAGGGAGATGGTGGTCTCGAGATCCCCCCCGGTATCCAGTACTGCAGCGCCATGGCTCGTGGGGAAAACGCTATCGAAGCCATATTTAACGTCGCTGGGCGTCTCTACATGGCTGGAGGGAAAATTGATCTGGCCCAGGTCAACCACAGAGATGGCGCAGCGAAGCCCAAGTTTGTGGTGGATCTCCCCAACTACGCCTGGGACCACTCGACCAAGTACTGGTACGAGAGCGATTCCAGCAAAGATTGGAGGAACCGTCTGTTCCCTCACCATGACCTCTTGGGAAGCAAGGTCTTAGGCAGCCCCTGGCATAGCCCCACCTTCGTCAAGTCTCTGAACGTCAAGGATCTCAGCTGGCTAGTGGACCACAAGATGGGCTCTGATCTGGTATTCCCCGCCACGGGTTACTTAGCTATGGCGATGGAGGCCATCTACCAGAAGACGGAGGCTCTGCACGTGCTGGAGAGCGGCAGTCCTGGGATCAAACAGCCCCAGTATCGGTTCCGCAACGTCGAATTCAACAAGGCCATGGTCTTCAACGAGAATGGCCAGGCCACCAAGATCCAATTCACACTAACAGCTGCACACACTGCCATTGGGGGCTGGCATCAGTTCAAGGTGTTCTCAGTGGCAGAGAACAACGCTTTGACGGAACACGTCCGCGGACTAGTTCGGATGGAAGAAGTAGAAAAAGAAGCCAGGGGTAGCGAGGAAGAGCTTAAGCCCCTGGTGCTCCCGGTAGATGGCAGAGTGTGGCGTAAGTCCATGATCGATGTTGGCTACAACTTCGGCCCCAGCTTCTCAAAGATCTTGCAAGTGGAGTCTCTCCCCGGGAAGCGCTTCAACAGATCTTTGCTGTCTCTTGAACCCCCTACTGCAGAGTTCACACAGTCCACTTACCCCATACACCCCACGGCTATTGACGCCTGCTTCCAGGCCTGCGCGCCATCTCTGTGGGCTGGCCATCGCAACGCTGTCGCGGGCGTGCTCGTCCCCGCTGTTATTGATAATTTGACCATAGCCCCTACCCAGGCCACTCGTGGTTTGGCTTTGACGACATCCAGGTACACTGGAAACGGACGCCCCGACGACACCAAGAACTTTGCCTCCGATGCTGCTGTGTATGATGCGGAAACAGGCATCTACGTGCTCAAATTGGATGGCCTTCATTATCACAGGATCGAAACCGGTGAGACCGCGTACGACTCTCACACCTTCAGCGCGCTGTCTTGGAAGCCGGATCTCACCTTGATCACACAGGCCTCACTGGAAACATTAGTGGCAGAGGCGAAGCAGCAGCACAATAGTCAGGTAGATCGAGGCGATGCCAGCGTCAGTGTAGCTAATAGCCTTGTCGCCATGGCTGCCCATAAGAAGCCCGTCCAGCGCGTGCTGGAGCTGAACACCGTTTTGGGTGAGCATGAGTCCATCTGGGCCAACGCCATGGCCGCGAATGAACACCTAGAGAAGCCATGCCGCCACTTCTGCTATTTGCTTCAAGACCCACAATCTTTGGTGGAAGCTGGACAAAAGTACACCTCGGACAAGACGGAGCTGTCTCTGATGGAGCACCTGGAATACCTGCCTCAAGCCGAAAAAGAGGACAACCAGTTCGAGTTAGTGATCGTACGCATGTCCCCAGGTGCGAAGAAGGTAAAAGGGCTATTCAAGAAGATCAGGGAGGTGGCTAGTCAGGGAACTCAGGTCCTCTTCCTCCACCAACGAGAGATCCCCACGAGACCTGAGCAAAATGGCGTCGAATCCAATAATGAAGATGAGCAATTCGACTCCGATGTCTATTTCAAGCAGCTGTCTGATATGGAGGAGTTCTATGTCGCTGGCCACATCATGTTTGAAGAGGCCACTGATTTGTTCGCGGGCCTTTCGCTTTTCAACATCCCACATACTCCAGATATCACGGGGAGACAGGTGGCTATTTATAGTCTCTCTTCCAATCCTGGTCCCAACGCTGCAAGAGTTCTAGATACTCTCCGAGGCTATGGTTGGATCCTGAGCAACTACGGCGAGAACGGTAACCAGTCTGTTGACCGTGTTCTGGTCCTGGATGAACTGGATACCTCTCTCTTGACTGAGGCTGCCATGACTGCAGATCGCTGGAACTCATGCAAAGACCTCCTCGCCAGTGGTAAGCGGGTTCTTTGGGTCACTGCTGGATCGCAGATGGAAGTCTCCGAGCCAGACAGGTCTATGATCCACGGTTTGGCGAGGACGGCTAGGGCTGAAGATCCGAGTCTCAGTATGACTACACTCGATGTGACGGGGGCAGACCACAACATCACAGCGAGTGCAATCCAGTCTCTACTCCAGCACATAGGCTGCTGCTGCCAGCCCCCCGACGCCACCTCTCACGTAGACAGCGAGTTCGTGGAACGGAGAGGGCTACTTTACGTCAGCAGAGTCCTTCCGGACGATGAAGTCAACAAGGTGTCGGATGATGTTCGATCAGGTGCTCAGCCTATCAGCCAGCCCTTCAACAACACTGAGTCCACCATTCAACTCCACTGCGAGCGGGTGGGCACCATCTCGTCATTGATGTGGAACGAAGTGGCCACCAGCGACCGCCCCCTCCAGGATCATATGGTGGAGGTGGACATGTACGCTGCCGGTGTTAACTTCAAGGACGTGGCTATCACGATGGGCATCGTTCCTGAAGATGAGTCTCTGCTAGGATTCGAAGGCAGCGGGAGGATACGCCGCGTGGGCAAGGATGTCTCGAACTTCCAAGTCGGACAGAGGGTTGTCTTCTTCCGAAAAGGCTGCTTTACCAATCGCTTCCACGTGTCCAGCCTGCGTGTCTGGCCCATACCTGACTCCATGTCTTACGAGGAAGCAGCCACACTCTCTGTCTGCTACCTAACCGCGATGTACTCCATCTACGACCTGGCCAATACGCAGCCGGGCCACAAGGTATTGGTCCACTCTGCCTCGGGGGGTCTTGGGTTGGCTGCTATCCAGATCTTCAAGCATATAGGCTGCGAGATCTTTGTCACTGTTGGCGATCAGAAGAAGCGAGCTCTCCTGATGAATGAATGGGGCATCCCTGCTGACCACATTTTCTACTCCCGCGACATCTCTTTCGCGGCAGATCTCATGAAAGCCACCAATGGCTATGGCGCCGACGTCATCCTAAACTCCTTGACGGGAGATCTCCTCGACGAGTCGTGGCGATGCATTGCCGCGGGCGGCACGATGGTCGAGCTCGGCAAGCGGGATATGTTGGACCGCAAGGCACTGAGCATGGAGCCCTTTGGCCGGAACGCGTCCTACCGCTGCGTTGATATAGGACACGATCAAATCACAGACCAGCTCCTGAATCGCCTTATGCGACAGATCTTCGCTCTGTTTGAGAGCGGCCACATCAAGCCCATCACCCCAATGACCGTCTTTCCCTACCAGGAAATCGGTGCTGCGCTCCAGCACCTCCGCTCTGCCACTCATCTGGGCAAACTGGTCATTTCCAGCGGTGGCGAAGAGCAGCCATTCAATATCATGGTCAGACCACGCAAACGGGAGATCCGTCTCCGTAATGACGCCTCTTACCTCCTTGTTGGTGGTTTGAAGGGACTTTGTGGAAGCTTAGCAGTTCATATGGCTACTCTGGGGGCCAGGCGATTGTCTATCCTGGCTCGAAGCGGTTATCAAGACGACGTATCTCAACGAGTGCTTCGACAGCTAAAAGCTCTGGGTTGCACAGTGGATCTGCTAAGGGGAGATGTGTCGTGCAAAGAAGATGTAAAGAGGGAGTTTAAGAAGATAGGAGTTCCCGTAGCTGGTGTTATCCAGGGGGCTATGGTTCTTCGAGTGAGTTGTTTATCTGTCTAATCCCAACTTTGGTAGTTTACTTGGCTAACCCTCAATTTCTTCTCCAGGATCGTATCTTCACTTCAATGACGGTTGAAGATTACACGCAGACTGTGTCCTGCAAGATTCAAGGCACTTGGAATCTCCACAACGCGTTACTAGAAGAGGGTCAAACCGTCGACTTCTTCACCATGCTTTCCAGTGTTTCTGGTATAGTAGGAAACAAAGGCCAAGCCAACTACGCCGCCGCAAACACCTTCTTGGACGCATTCGCCACTTACCGCCGAGGCCTCGGTCTCAAAGCCAACTCGGTCAATCTCGGCGCCATTCAAGATGTCGGTTATCTGAGCCACAACGAGGACATCCTCAGCCACTTCGACGATGACCACATCTGGACGCCCATCAACGAGCCGCTCATGTTGAAGCTGGTAGAATTTTCCATCCGGCAGCAGATTGACCCAATGAGTACGGCCAGCGAATCCCACCTCGTCACTAGTATAGCTGTCCCGCAGCGTGAATCTTCTTTCCTCTTAAGAGATGGCCGCTTTGGAACCTTGTGCTTTGGTGATCAGAGCGGTGAGTCCGGAGATGCGAGGAACCAAGGGTTCCAAGAGGTCCAGAACCTGCTGTTGCTAGTAAAGAACAAGGCTAGTTATAATGCCGTGCACCAGGCGACTATAGAAGCAGTGGTTCAACTGTTTACCATGACGATGAACCTTAGTGAGGCAGCGGAGCCGACCCGACCGTTAGCAAGTTACGGCCTTGACTCGTTGGCTGCTGTTGAGTTTAGGAACCGATTACGAATGGAGCTTAAGGTAGAAGTCACCATATTTGAGATTACGACGGCTGCATCTTTAAGTACATTTTCGGAGAAGGTTGCTACGCGTATGATTGGAGCTTGATAAGATTATAGACAGTCCTGATAAGTGGTATATTTAAAAGGAAATAAAGTAAGCAAATAGCAAAGAATTAAGTTTTCACCCTGCTGGTAACTCTATCTACCGTCTCTTAGACAAAAAGAATCACATTAAGTGCCTCTGTAGCCATACTTATATGTAAAAAATAACTCCAATGCAGAGAGGGAGTGTCGGATAATGTTATTCAGAGGTCCAGGAGGCGAACTACAATCAAGTTTTCAACCCCACAACAGTATTAATTAATGGGCATGGTAATAGATCCACCATTTCTGAGGATGATGCTCTTATTGAGAGAATGACTCGCAGTCTTGAGGTCCTGAAGCGCTACCTCGACGAGGGACGTTATGTCTATGGCATCCACACTAGCTATAGTAGTAGCGCAAATACGTAAACTACCTAGTAATAATCTCACTAACCTTTAAAATACTTAATCTAGTATTGTAATACAGTTATTCTTTTACTATCTAACCGCAGAGAAGACTGTAATATAACTTTATAAGACCTTTAAAAACACTTACTACTAAACTAGTTAGTTTATATATCTATTTTCTTTAGGTGCAACTCTTTTTTTACAAGGCCACTCTATAGTAAGACTTTAAGTAGTTCAGGCCATAGCTAAAGTTGTTAAATAAGACGTTACTTTTATTATTCTTTTTCGGGGTAGTATTTCTGCGTCTGGAGACTTCTTCCACATCCATTGGCATTAGTAGTTCCATTGATCACACCAGTTTCTGATTAACGCCTCGTCGATCAGCCCGAGCTTCCTCATGGTCTGACTATGTGCCACAGTCCTGTTGACATCAAAATAAATGTGGCCAAGACCTGCCCTCCCTTGCTCCTCCATTCCCCTATACGTGTCAATAAGCTTGATTCCTGGATTTTTCTCCACATCCTCTGCTGTCGCATCGATAGCGCTGGCTTCAAGAGCATGAATCCACTCATCAAACGGAACCAGAGCCTTGATCCTTTCTCCGTAGTACGTTTTGAGGATTTTAGCAATCTCGGCCCAGCTCGTAGCCGACGGGTTGACTCCATGGAAGTATCCAGAGATGTTTGATAGAGGAATCTTCTGGTTGATGCCAGCAACGTCCAAAACCAATCCCGCAATGTCTTCCACCGGCGTCCAGTCCACAACGTCCTGAGGACCCAGACTGGCCGGCAGCATACCCATATGAACTGAGCTAGCGATTAGACTTGGTATGAATTCTTGGGGATTCCAGGTGCCTTCTTTGGTTCGCGCGCCAGCGATTTGGCCGACCCGAATTATAGCGGCGGGGACTCCAGATTGCTCAACAGCCGCATCTAAAATAGAGCTGGCGGCAAATTTTGATTGACCATAACCCATCTTTGGCAACGTCAAATCATCGAGACGATGCTCGGGAATCGGCTCTGGCTTTGTCCACCCTTGGATAGTACCGATACTTGAGATGAAAATGATTGGAACTTTTTTGGCTGCCTTGTTAGAGAACTCAACCAGCTGGCGAACTCCCAAGATGTAGGGCTTAAACGAGTTGACGCTGATGTTGAAGTTGACTGGCCATGCATTATGTATGATGCGATCTGCCGTGGCCAGAATATCATGATACTTGGCCTGATCGAGGTTGAAGTACGGCTTGGACAAATCGACGCCGAGGAACTCGACTTTGGAAAAGTCGGTGCTCAACCCTCTAGCAGCACTGTAGGCGGGCTGGCGAGAGTGTCCTCCATCTTGGCCGCGGTTGAAAGCAATGACCTTGGCAACCCGAGGATTCTCAATCAGACGGTCAAGCATGTAGGCACCGAGCGATCCTGTAGTGCCAGTAACGATAACCGTTTGTGCTTCATCCATCGGAAGCAGTTGATCCATGTTTGGAGGCGGCAGGCCCGCACTGTACTCTGAAATGATTTCAACCATGTCACTGATCTCCCTCGCAGAGGTGTCGTCATCGTTTTGACCAATGACGGCCGTCGAGAATAAATAACTGGCTAGCCCTCTTATTGTTGGATTTGCGTAGATGGCTCTGGCAGCAACAGCATCCTTGCCAGTCTTTATACCAGCGAAATCCAGGGCTGAGCGCAGAATTTTGGAAAGAGTAAGAACCTGCATCGAATCAACGCCAAGGCTGAAAATATCAGACACGGATTCAACCTCGGATATACCAGTCATGGATTCGACAATATCCACGATGGACTGCGTCAAAGACTCTGGGCTAGAAATGTCCAGTGATGCAATCGCATCCTTTATTTCGATCGCCTCGTCCGTCTGCGCATACAATCTGTCGATGAAGTCTTTGTAAAGCCTTACGGTTGCCATTCGTTGCATCGTACCTTTGGGTGATAATGCAAATGGTATGGTGGCATCCGAGATAGCAATCATATCACGAGTGATTCTTCCATGAGCCACTGTGACCTTGTTCACCTCTTCGACAATACTCCATACACTGCTGATGAGAGCTTCTTCGGCTGCTTCGTCTTTTGGGTGGTCATACGGCTCCAAGATCAAAGCGGGCTGGAACCTTTGCTGCCCTACCACCAGAGCAAGTTTAACAGCGGGATGGCCAACAACAGCGGCCTCAATGGTAACTGGATTGAGCTTCTCGCCTGTAGAGAAAACTATGACGTTATCCGTGCGGCCGTGGTAGAGCCAATGGTTTGGCTTCGTTGGATGCTTCTTATACATGTCCCCTGTAGACCATTCGGTTTTGTCCGGGAACGTGTAAAAGAGGATTTTCCGCAATGGTTCCCCAATTTGTTTGCGGCAAATAAACATCTCGAAAACATCGTCGTCAGCTATTAAACGGAACTCAGCACCCATTTCTTCGGCATTGATAACGATCCATTGCCATAATGTGGGATCAGGCTGGTGGTGAAGTAGATAAGGTGCAATCCTAGACATGTTAACTGTAAACCCTCACAACTCTTTGGTGCCTTTTAGCTTACTCAGTCGAAGATATAATGTTGACGAGAGTAACGCCTCTTCTAACAAGTTTATCTCCCACAAGAGGGGCGAGATTGCCTATCCATCTACTATTAGCTGGTGCCACAAAAATGAGAAAGTGGAAGAACTCGAGCTTTTTTCTTACCTCCGCCAAAACCCGTGCCCTTTAGCTTAGCTAGGAGCCTAACGTGCTCATCACTCACACTCATGTCCTCGATAATTGAGGGAGGCAGTACCGCGAAATCAGCATCCGAATGAGCCAGGCATTCCGCCACTAGATCTGCACTCAGAGGACGATTCGGCACCCCTAGAACTATTGGAACGCCGTGATAAATGCCAAAGATTACCATGCAAGCAACTCCAGCCATGTGGAATGAGGGCATTGGCGAAAATATCTTTGAGCTGTTGGCACCCCAATAGCTCCATATTGAAGGATAACCGTCTAGAGAAGAATCCTCTCGTAGGCCATCAACGATCGCAAGGCTTCCTTGGCGAACAATAATAGGCTTTGGAATGCCTGTAGAACCACTGGTATGCGCAACAACCATGGGATGCCATCTTGCTTCTTCAAACGGGGTATTGTATGGCACATGAGGAGCCGCTGACTGAATCCAAACGCTCCAGTCGGGGACTGCCGTTGCCGGTATAGGATATGACTGAAGCCATAATTCGATGGTGGACTGCATGGACGCGTCATACATGATCTGTGTGCATTCCGTGGCTTTGAAAAGCGATATTTGAGCCTCAAGGCTATTGCGAGGCGAAATGAACAGGGCTTTATGATGAGCTTTTATGCAGGCAAGCATCATGATGATGTACCGTACGTCGCTTGGTCCGATATAAGCCACCGTAGGAAAGCAGTCCTTCTGCGAAACATTTTGTTGGGCCTGTCGAAGTAGCTCACCAGCCAAGTGGTTCACTGCATTTGAAACATCTCTGAATGTGATGGGGCGATATCCATCTTCGAGATTGCTAGAAAATGGCTGATAGATGAAAATTCGCTGAGGATTGCAGGCTGCATACTCATCAACGATGTTGACCACAAGTCGTTGTTCGTCCTGAGACTTTGAATTGATATGCCCGTTCATATCTACTGATCAAGTGTGGCAGTCAATCTGGCGATCAAAACCAATTGGTAATCGTCGTAGATATTGTGAGTGTCGTATCAAGGGGATTTTGTGAGGCGTTCTGGCTAATGCGAGCACCACCATTTATATCATTTTTGCAAGTCGCGGTGTCTCAGCATTCTAGAAGCAGACGACGACGTCACAAGGTAACAACGCCACCCCCAGTGGTTCTTCTGTGCCCTGCACCGGTATAATCTCGCGAATCGGTAGTCCGAAAGCGCTACAGCTAGAGCCAGCCAAACTTCCTCTTTCAGGGATGAACGTCAAGTGGATCAAGTTGCCCCCCTTTATCGGCATGGTATATTGAAGGTACCCGATCCCGAGGATATGACCTTGTTTCTTTCCGCGATAGGTTACATACACTAGTGGAAGAAATGTTAAGCTCTTACAACTACCTGGGTACTGGAGGGCAAAACGTGTACATCACCGTACGCAGTGAACTTCTATGTCAAAAGCCGCCGCGACCCCCGAGTCTGTCTATTAGCTCATCCAGCAATCTAATCATATTACTGTCAGGCAACGACGAAAGGCATAGTGTATGCGTCACTTATGGCCTACCTAGTCTCAACTGCAATGCTTTAGTGTCCATGCTCCTACGGGTGACTTCACTGGGCCACATTTTCGTGTTCTGCCACTTTCATCGGAACACCATGATGCCGATTCTCCCGACTCATATTGACGAGGGTCATTTATAAATGGCTATTCAAAGTCCTGCGTTTGAGAAATGTTACGTTATCTACTTAGCTAAGACGATATTCTCGCGTAAAGCTGTTAACGGTGTTATCCGTAACCGAGAACTCAAGTAGGAATTCTGTTAGTTCTTCCCATGTCCCTACACTAGGAGCGGGAGGGCTGAAATGGAATCGCCGCGGTGTCGTATGCAAAGGAAGCCTCTAAGGACTGGCCATTTACCACAGTTGCATTCTAATTTACAAGAACGAAATCCCCACTCACGATGCTCCTAGAACGATGAGAACAAATCCTTGGCATCTATGAAGCTAGATCCGTAATTGGCCGTTGCACATGCACGCGATCGCCTCATCGCCGTTTTAGGATATGTGGCTTGCGGATCAAGAGAGCTACCCGCACGCTATACCACAAAACACAGATGTCGGCGTTAACAAGAAGCACGGCAAGTAAATGCCGGGCTATGCCCGGAGTACGGAGTAATACAAAATGTTCCTTACGCGTTTGGCGGTCACATTGAGAGGAAAATGATGCCCCAATACCGCTGTCTGCGGCGAATATCCGCTTCGATTTGACACTTCGTGATCCACATGCGTCTCGGAGCGGCGCTATTTTGGCAGCCGTTGCTCCGCTGCATCAAAACGCTAATACTTGACAAAGAACGTCCTCGTAGGGGGCAGCCCAGGGATACTCTCGGCTCCTAAGACACATAGGTAGTAGGCGAATTACCTACAAGCCAAACAAGGATACCCGCTTTGGCGTCCAAGCTCCTAATACTAGTACAAGTAGTGTTTTCTTGCTCAATTGTTTTGTCGGTGAAAGCTACCGAAGCTCTGCTGTGCTCGTAACTCCGCTATCCATGGACTTCACGGGTGTAGGAGCCGAGTCCGCACGTTGAGGTAGCATTGCACTGGCGCGATGATCCCACGTCGTATTTCCCTCTTGGGCTATGCGCGATGTGCCGTGAGCCCATTTCAAGTGAATCCGAGAGAATATATAGGGTCGTATCGCTTTTTATCTGACCCGAGGGAAAGTTTCTTCTTCGGGAAATGATATGCCAATAATATTCTGGCTTAAGGAAGCTATCCCCTTCGAACATTGCATTTTGGAGTGATACAACAATCTTCGTTCTTTCGCATAACATTAAAATGAGAGAAAGGCTATCAATATTTCAGAGAGCCTAATCGCTATTCTATTACGTTTATAATGCGGAAGATATTCTCAGACCAAGAGTTCATAAACATCAGATGATGCATTAGAGTACAATGCCGGATTCCAGACAAGACATTCCACCTCAATTCTTCTGTAACATATTAATACTTATTGCATAGGAATCCCGGATATGGCTGCGTATAGCAGCGATTTTACTGCTTGTTGAGGATATCCGGGGCCAATTGATAAGCAGACTGATATATTAGCTAGGCTCTGAAGGAGGATGGACATTGGGATGCCTCTTCGTCTGTTTTCTTGGGTGATGGGGAAAGCTTGTGTGTGAGTCTCTTTTTTATGGTCCTCTTCATTCGATAAGTTGCTCATCAGAGAATTAAAGTTGAATGCCTGCAAGGCCGGCACTCTACGCCATGCTGACTCCGAGCGTGATGTCGAATAACTCTGTGATATGGACACGTCTGTGTTGAACTGGCCAGACTCATGTTCCGTCAAAGGATTGAATCCATCATTGGCTCTTGGGCTATGAAGAAATCTTGACGAGTTGGAAAACTCGAGGATGTCGTCTTGCGAGTTGACTATTCCAACGTCATGAAGCAACACAACCACATCCTCTACACTGAGATAAGTTTCACTCGTTGGAATGCCGGGATAGTTCCTTGCTTGCTTTAAGCGGGAAGCCAGAAGCTGGCCCGGACCAAGCCACCATTGGAATTCCGAGAGAATATCGTCCCGATTTCGAAAAGATAACGTGAGTCCAAATATTCGAAAGCCTAGGTCCGTAGTGTACCCAAAGTTCCCTCTTAAAGCTTCATATCCAGACGACAGTGTCGTACGAAGAAGACGCGATCCAATAGAAGAAGGTTCTCCTTTGATTGCAAACTCCAGAGCAAAATAGGATGGCGAAATCAAGATCCGGTCGCTGGGTGGTTGTAGCCCTTGTGGGTAAGCATTTTGGTCGAGTTGGTGATGGGTGGAAGTAGACTCGCTTCCAATGTGAATAATATTTTTGCCCTTTTCTTGGTCTTGGTCGAGTTGTATAACATCCGTCATTGCTGAATCCATGTGATCGTCAGATGGCATTGCTTCCCTCGCGTTTGGATTGTCGAGATCTTCTGGCGGTTGATCCACATCCCCTGGTCCAGACTGTCGATTCTCCCCGTCCACAACTTTCGCTACATGACGAAATTCTTTTATCGCGTTTAAGACTTCTGTGCTAAGGTTTGTGTCTTTTGGAATTACCCCGGACCGGATGAGGGCACTTGTTAAGTCCGTGAACACTGTGCAAGCGCGCTGGGCTGCAACTTGTAAATCTTGTGCTCGCTTTTGCGAGGAATCGAATTTCTCTTTGTGTCGTTTCCGATATGCTTGTTGCGCAATGCGGCTTCGTATCCGCCGGGACTATTAACGAAAATCAACAGCTGGTTCTGTTTTAAGCTTGAGAGGAAGCGTCCCTGTACATTCGCGGTGCTTTGTTCTTCCGGGGACGACATCATGAAGCTTTAGCTCGCTATTGGACAGAGATAGCCTGACGATGATGGTGGATTTGGTTTAATTTGGTGATTTAGTTCCTCACTTTTACCGCCGCGGGCATATCCACGTTACACACTCCGACATGATGTGGAAAGCCAAGGTCTTTGTAAATGACCAGGAGAGACAGTCAAGATCCAGACTGGTTAGTTTGATTTGTAATAATATTTACTAATTGTCTCTTTTTGGGATTAGCATCATTCCCGCTCCACACAATCAATGTCAGCACATGCCATACCCGGCAGCAATAACGTTATCATTCCGAGAGGTAAATAAAAGAGTAAATCTACGTCCGGACAAAACTTTATTTATATCGCAATACTAAGAGAATTGCCGCGGCAGTTTGATTCATACGAGAACAAGGGAAAGACTAGTTGGGAGGGGATTCGATCTAAGATGACCCTCAGGCTCAATTTCTTGCCAAATGAACTGTTCCAAAGAGCGCTGACAGTAACGGCCAATTTCACATCATATAGCTAAAAGGTCATACCGCATGCGGTATGTTACTTATTCAGATGGTAAGATTGCTTAGAAAAAAATACAAGAGAGCGAGAAAAGAACGGAAAAGGAACCCTCGATAGCCGGTGCTGATTGACACGAACCATGGCTCGGACATGTAAATTAACAGCAATGAATACATCAAGTACCTATGTGTAATACAAGCGAGCGGAGGTTCATATTGGGCTGAGTATTTGAGGCGAAAGGTCACTTTTCGAACGCGACACTTAGCAATAACACGCGTATGCTTCCATTGCAATCGAGAGAGATCTCCCAACAGCCCAGAGCAAGAGTGAAAGAGAACAGAATAGAACTTAAATCATGTCACCCTTTAAAGATTAAGCTGCCTTTATCGACATTTGAGTAGAGATCAACCACGGTGGCGTCAACACGTGTTACAATCATTGGATTCTTTAACGGCTGTGGCTAGACGAGTTATTGATGAGTTCATTAGTGAGCTGAATCTTATCATGAGAGAGTGAATATTCGAGGATCAACACCAAAGTCATCTTGGACTGTATTATCAAAAGTAGAATTTGTCCAAGCTCTCAATGATATATGACATACTGTAATTGTATCTTTCTAAACGCAGTAGTTCGTATCAAACAGTAAATTAGTAACATATTGCCCACGCTTTCATCGGGATCAGAGTTTGCATTTACGATGGTATTGTTACGGTAGTACACGTGCACCAAACACCGTGTACTACTGTATACCGAAATGACATTCTTTTTGGTCTAAGAGGATTAAACAATGAATGATTCTGGGGAGCTTTAGAAAGGTTGGCAGCTCTTGAGGGGATGGTAGAGACAATACTTGAGCTGAATGTCTTGGTGGTAATGGTGGAAGCCGTGGGAGAAGAGTCGATAGTTTTGATGCCAGGAGCATGCTTGTCGCCAAGTACTCAGGCGTATCTTTGAGAATAATAAAAGATGTTTCTGTCATGAAGATAGATACAATATCATGTCAGTCAACGTATGTGGCGGCTCTCTACGAAGAATTGCGATCTCGCGGGCTGTTGGCTCGACAGAAGACGGTAAAATTCTATTTTAGCCACCAATGGCCATCGCAGTAAGTAGTGGCGATGCAACCGTCATCGGTCTGAGAGATATGCAGCGGTCTGAGCTTACTTAGCACCGAGCGGCTTGTCATGTCATCCTGCCCGATTGCTTTGGTGAAGGCACTGCATCCCCTGCTACTCGTCTGCCTAACCCGGTTTTAACTTTCTTGGGCAGTTGCTGATACAGCGGAGTATTTCAGATTCCGCCTACTATGGTTACATGCCTCACAAGGTAGTTGGATAATTCTGAGCGGTTGACCATTGATCAGCAAACGATGGGCGAGATGATCTGCAGAGCTCCCGTCACAGTGTATGCTATGGTTTCCTCCAATCACGGCGAAGAACCTCGGAGCGCAATGAACGCAGGCCTCCTTCCTTTCAGTTTGTGTATTTGCCGATGCCCTCGATTTCCATAATGATTGGCAATCATGTAATTATGCTTACTTCTACCGTGCTGGGGCAAAATACAACAGGTGTTGCGTCTAGATCCTGATGATGGCTCGAATGGATCAATCAAGTTGATCCCCGCGCTCTTCACTCCCACATTTCATCCCGCAATGCGATATACGTTTCCCCCTCTAATGCTGAGCCCAATTTCCATTGTTATTTTAATATGTATTCTATGAGATGGAATAGTCTGCGATGGCTTATTTGAGACGATAAGCGATACTCATATCATCTGACTGAGCACGTAATTATGCATTACTTTATTTTCGCGTTTGCCGTATTTGGCGATTTGCTACTAATCTGTAAAAAGAGAAGAATTCGTATTTTTCTTAACCCCTTGCGTATGCACTCATCACTTGACAAATTAAGCGACCGTATTCGTGCACCGCAATAGGTCCTAGAATTTTAATCCCTATGCCACACCATATCGAAGGAAGCAGCTCGAAATATGGCCGGAAAAATAGAGATCCGCATTTTCTGAAAGCTGATTTCTGGAGCTATAGGCGAACCCAAACCCGCATCAAGTCTCTACTATGGGGAAAAGGCATGCTTCATAGATTGGAGAAATCTTGTCCATTATTTCCCCAACATGCCAAGAGATGAATCTCATCGTTTGGTCTTGGTAATTAGTAAGATGGCTTCTATAATCTGACTATTGGCCACTATGCCGCTGTCTTGGCCTTCTATGTGGGGGATCTGACATGCACAAGAAGCATGGATTTAACACAGAGTGGCGGGGCGCCCGAACGGTTCGCCGTCAGCAATCGATGCTAAGAAATAATATGGGGGATTCTAGAATGCATTCCATAGCGATGGCACCGGGTCGTAGTCATACGCTTTACTGTTCGACCTGGACGTCCAAAATGATGGATCGCGCACCTTATTCCAGTATATTAAGGATTCTTGATCTAGCGGCCAAGAATAGAAAATCCCACCAATCAGATCCCCATGACAAATGTTATGCCGGTTATGCGGCACAACGGACATTCTACATTCAGGAACACCCCAGCAGGCATTGGTGTACCTGTCGATTTGGTGTTAGTGCTATATTCCACTGACTAGTTGGTCTGAAACACGATCATCATGACTTATGCGTCGTTCAGGTCGATACAAGTATATAAACCGCATGGAGATGCTCGTTCTGGTCGTGTATATCTCAAATCACCTCGATCAAGTGTAAAACGAAATCTACTCATCGTCGTTCACCCGTTTCTTTACAATCACCATGCCTGCCCTCAAGACTCTTCTTGCCTCCGGCTTCTTGGGAGCCGCCTCAGCTCTGAACCCCAGCTGCGCTCCTGGCGGCAACTTTGATCTCACCAAATGGTCACTCCAGCTTCCCATCGGCAACCCGGGCAGCCCGACCACCATTCCTGCTTCCCAGCTCGCGGGATGTGGCGGATACCAAGACCCAGGCCACCACTACTTCTTCACTGAGAGTGGTGACGGTGCCTTGGTCATGAAAGTGCCCGGTGCCCCCTCAAACACTGGCTGTGTTACCACGCCTAACAGCCAGCACTGCCGCACTGAGTTGCGCGAGAGCAACCCCAGCAGCTGGAGCCCAAACAACAGCAACAACCAGCTGACCGTGTCGCTGGCCGTTGAACAGCCGGACAACTCCGGCCACGGAACTGTCGTCGGCCAAATTCACATTGACGACAGCGTCAGCACAAAGCCGGTTGCTGAACTGTACTATAGCTCCAGTGGTGTGCTGGCTATGGGCGTGGAGCAGACTCGCGCCGGTGGCAATGAGATTATCACTACCGTTGGCAACGTCCCAGTCGGCCAGGTGTTCACCTACACCATCAGCTACTCCAGCAATGTCCTCAGCGTCAGCATCAACGGAGGTGCCGCCAAGGTTCTCAGCACCTACTCTCTGAATGCTCCCGCCAGCTACTTCAAGGTTGGAAACTACAACCAGGGCAGCAGCGCTTCCGATGTTCACTTCTTTTCCATCAACGTTTCTCATTAAGCGGTTTCCGTTATGAGAAGTCATTTTTAAAGTAAATATTACGCAGGCAAATGGCCGCTGTATATATGAGATGGAGACTACTAGCCTTGAATATCTCATTGCGCTGCTTCTGCAATGGGTTCTAGATGTATCTACTATGAGTAATGCAAATATTTTTGAACGGGAATACTATGAACGCCGCCGTGACTGTGAACATCTATACCGAATAGAAGCCTACTGAATAGAACATAATCGATCCTACTCCGTCTTAAAATCCCTTATTCGCGTCATCGATGAGAATGACAGAGCGGTTCAAGTGATGAGCAAACGAGTCTGTTGTGGTATGCAGATTTGCGTCGTCTTAATTGGCCAAGGGCCCATGGAATACTGCGAATAAAGTATGCACTAATTGCTGCGTTACAACCGCTACCGTCCACATGAGAGATTTCCACGATACCCGAAGGTAACATCGTTGGCACTTCTGCTGATCTTTCAACATCATGGGAGGGGAGGGGGTTCCTAAACACCATTCAACATTGTCAACTCTGTAATCAGAGTTCATCCACTCAACTCCACTCGTACTTGAAGTGCTGTAGTAAGTTGTCGGAACTTAGGTTCCACAATTCAGGGGCATAGGATCCACTGCTTAACTGCCACGAGTATCCGTACATGTCGCTTCTACGTTCAGCCGCATACTCAAAGTGTGAGAGATGCGTATATGAGGCAATTGTCTCTCGCACATTGTTGCACTTTCACTAAATGCCAGATGACTTTCGTAATAGTAGTAGGTCGACCTCTCTAGAGACAGCTAAGAAACATGTCAGGATCTCCAACTTTATGGCGGATGTAACGGCGCGAGGCGTACGGGCTAACCTGCATCAAGACCAGATCTCGGCTTTATGATCCAACCCAGCTTTCCATATCCAGCGTTCCCGAGCTGGAACCCCGAGCCCAAAATGCCGAGCAACTAGTATGGCCAATAAGCGCCGAGGGAGTGCGGCACTACTAACACGAAGCGCAGCTCGGGATTTCCTCTTCTTCCCGAACTTCCCTTCACAAGCTCACTCGGCCGCAACTTGCATTTATCATAATCGCGACACAAATTCACCACTGGCTCAATCGCACGTGTTTTATTCGACTTTACTACAATGCCACCTCCCTCGGCTTCCGAAAAGCCGACAAAGGCTTGCATGTAGGTAATCCAATCCCTTTGGCACCTTATCCTGTGCAGTCCCGCCACTTCCGCATTGCCCATTTCACTTTCTCACGAGTTTCACTACGGAAATCCGTCAACCATGTTATTAGTCACTCTTCCGCTTACAATATCAACAGGACGTGCAATCATAGGAAATTGAAATGCGATGCGGCTATGGTTGGGCTGCCATGCAGTAGATGCATTGACAAAGGATATCCGGAAACATGCGCTCTTGCTTACAGACGCCGTCGAAAGTATGTGCTCACGATGCTCCCAACCCAATTAACAGCTCCCAGTGACCATATTTTTTTTTCCACATAGGCCCGCGACCACAGCCAAAGACAAACATCAAGTCTCGTATCTATCAGGTACTCGGGCTCAGCTGGCACGCCCTGCTGAGGCTAAATCTACCAATCAAGTATTACTTGGATCCAAATGTATTATTATTATTATTATTCCGCATACTGATTCCCACCAGGAACCGAATATTTGTCAAGATGGACGCATTCAGATGCCAGGATTGGACCTTATCGATGGCCGTAAAGGAGTTCACTATATGAGCGCCCTTCGCCGGCTGGCTCGCAATGAACAAGCCCGCACAGCTCGTGCCTCAGTGACAAGAACTAGCACAACTAGGCCAGAAAATGAACCTGGGTATCAAAGAGCCAATATGGTATCACATAATATGCGACTCGATGACGTAGATAAAGAATACCTTCGACAAAAGGGGGCTTTTACTCTGCCTTCGCAGACTTGCTGGTATTACCCATTGCCGTGTTCTTGCTAGGCATTTCGCTAATCGTCTTATTAGTGAAGCAATGCTACGACAGCACTTTATCTCTGTTTACCCACAAATTCCAGTTTTCGATTACGTTGATTTCATGGATTCATACTTATCCGGGTCGTTTTCTTGGTTCATGATGCAGGCAGTACTGGCTAGCGCGGTGCCATATATTGCCATGGAGGTCTTGACAGAATGCGGCTTCGCCGATCGTTTGACAGCATTGGAGTTCTTCTTCTCTAATGCGGTGAGGCTATATGACTTCGGATGCGAAGAAAGCCAGCTGGCCAAACTACAAGGGTCTCTCATTCTGAGTACTGTCCTCGTATCATATACCATGGACAAAGATTTTCGATTCTGGCACCATAACTCTGTGCGCCTTGCAGTAAGGCTTGGTCTACATAAAGAGTAAGTCACGCCCTCACACATATAAAGGGATCACTAATCAGAAGAGAGGAAAGCCATGTCGTCGAGGAAAAGGAACTTGCTACGAGGAATCTATACCAAAGGATATGGACAGCAATCTGTGTGAGGATTCTACATATTGACCCACAGACGCCATTCGCGCAAAAAAAAAAAAAAAACTGATTCTTCTGCTAGTGCCGTGAAATCATTTTCTCGATCATACATTTGGAATCGCCCAGATTGATCCAGTATAATACTCAGCAAGCACCCGAGGTAAATTGGTGGAATACGCCTATTCCAACATCCTATGCCCCAATCATACCGTCGTGGACCGAAGGTCAAAAATGTTACAGCGCCGAGCATATGAAACTAGCTATCATAGGTAATTTTTGCGCATGCCTGGAGACGATTTGACATGGTTGCTAAACAAGAGTAGCCACCCGCTGGCACGACGTTTTACGCGCATTGGACAGCGAACAGCCCTCAACGAGAGAGAACATGGAGGAAGAAATATCTTCTTCCTTCGCAGAATGGAGAAAGTCCCTTCCAAAAGACATATCATTCAGCCGCAGCCTTTCGCCGGACAGAGTTGACGAAATCTGGGTAGCAGCTCTTGAGGCAAGCTGCTACAGATTTGAGTGTATCTTCTATCGTTCATTGCTCCGTCGCTCTCTTGCTCGCGGAGTAACTGGCGGGCCAGTAGATTCCCTGAAACAGCGACTTCGGATGGCCATATTCGAGCTAGACACCATTGTCAGCCGTCTCGTGATGGTTAATCTATTAAGATTTGCTAATTTAAACTTGTAAGTGAAAAACTATGGTCAGTTGGTGTCCATGATACTTTGCTCTGACGAAAGAAATGCAGGCTTGGCTGCGTCACCTGCTTATTAGCACTCCATATCGAAACTGTTTTAGAGCCAACTGAGTCGCCAATTACAAGATCCTTGGCTGTCACATATATTCGTCGCACCGAATTGGCTTTGCAGCAGATCTGTGAAGTCGTTCCATCTATGGAGTGCAACCTCCGTCTCCTTCACCGGTTCCTTGACCAGAAAAGGCTCGACGCGGCCTCTACCGCCGATTCAACTCTGGCGGGTAATCCATTGAGTGGAGAAACAGAAGAACGAGAACCAGAACCACCGAGTCAAACTTTACAAGGTCAAAATGACATAAATGAACTAGAGCCACGTGCCGACACAATGAACAGCAACTTACGGCTACAGGATGATGATACACCCGATGATCTAGGTGATGTGAACGACTGGCTCGATGGCCTAGTGTGGCTTGATTATTTGAAGGATTCCAACGTTTTACCTAGCTAGATTTATGAGAATGATTGTAAATAAAATAAGGATAAGATTGTGGCGAAGAATGCCTTGAGTTTGCAGATCGGTCCGTCGTAGCCTAAGGTGCTGATGGCCTCTTACCGCAAGCTCAGCCCTACGGTTATGCTATCACAGCGACGCTGACTACTTTTGCGGCCTCAATGCTTTTCACGAATCAGGCGAATAACCAGAGAAGTCCGTAGGGAGACACCTCATCGGTGCCCCGGTTAGGTTGTTTACTAATACTACCTCATCCTTTCGGCTCGGCTTTTGGCTGCTCGGGAATTCAACTGCCGTGCCGATAACGAAATTGGAATCTCTTCTTTTTTTCTCACAAATCAACATCTACTTCTTATATATATAATGTGTCAATACCTCTCTCGTAACTGAATACCTTGGGATCTTTTTCATAGCATTGCCCAGTTTTGGCTTACTCCCAGTGCCAGCAAAAGAATAACTAGCACTACCGTTATCACTTCAATCGTCCTTGCTTGTACGACCGAGCCTGCCATGTCAGATACTGAGCGCACCCTATATGAGAAGGATGAATTGTCACATCCTCATCCCAGTACCCAGACAGTCACAAACTCGAAAATCACTTATGTACGGCTTGTTCTCGACCAACCACTCATCACGCCAGCCGTACTGAACCACCAGTATGAGGGCTCAGGGACGCACTCAGATCCATATCTAGTCACTTGGATCGAAGGTGATCCTCGTAACGCAAGAGAATGGCCTCAGGGGAGGAAATTACTGACGACCATCATTATGGCAATGCTCACGCTAGCGGCCTCATTTGTCTCGTCAACGTATTCGGGGTGTAGAAAAGAAATCATGTCCGATCTAAATGCCAGCGAGGAAGTGTTTGCCCTTGGGCTTTCACTTTACGTCTTGGGATTCGCTCTCGGTCCGTTATTCTGGGCACCGTTGGGCGAGCTATACGGTCGCCAGATTATTTTCTTTATAACCTATGGCGCATTCACTGGTTTCAATGCTGGTAGCGCCGGTGCTCAGCATATTTATTCTCTCGTCATCCTACGATTCTTTGCCGGAGCATTTGCTGCTTCAGCTCTCACAAATCCCGGAGGTGTCATTGCAGATATGTTTGATGCTACTCATCGAGGCTTGGCCATGGCTTTGTTCGCAGCAGGGCCATTCATGGGGCCAGTCCTCGGGCCTATCGTGGGCGGCTTCTTGGGTGAGACGCACGGCTGGCGCTGGGCGTCAGGATTGACGGCCATATTCTCGGGAGCGTTATGGATCATCACTGCTGTCTTTGTGCCGGAGACCCATGCACCGTTCCTTTTACGGAAACGAGCACAACAGCTATCCAAGTTGACAGGCCACTCTTATCGCAGCAAACTTGAGGCTGATAAAAGCGAAAAGTCCGCTTGGAGCGAGCTTGCAGTGTCATTGACTCGTCCATGGGCATTGCTTTTCCATGAACCCATCGTACTACTTTTATCTCTCTATATGTCTATTACCTATGGAACGCTGTACATGTTTTTTGGAGTTGTTCCAATCGTATTTCAGCAATACCGCGGCTGGGGAGAAGGACAGGGGGGGCTGGCTTTCATTGGAATTGTTGTTGGAGTGGTTTTGGCTGTCCTTTCGTCTATTCTATACCAAAGACGATACAGACGAATGGTCCAGAAAGTCAAGGCTAGTGGCGGCACAGGATCTCTCCCACCGGAAGCTCGCCTGCCCATGGGAATGATTGGTGCAATAGCTATGCCCATCGGCCTAACTTGGTTTGCATGGACAAACTATCCTGATATTCATTGGATGGCTAGCATCTCAGCGTGTGTGCCATTCGGTTTTGGTATGGTACTGGTCTTCACATCAATCAGTGCTTATCTCGTGGATACATACATGGCCTTTGCTGCCTCTGCCCTGGCAGCCAATGTGGTTATGCGCTCAGCTTTTGCCGCCGCCTTCCCTTTATTTACTGGGTATATGTATGCAGGGTTGGGAATTCACTGGGCTTCAATGATTCCTGCGTTTTTGACATTGGCTTGCGCCCCGTTACCCTTCCTCTTCTACAAGTGGGGTGACCGTATACGGGCTCGAGGCAAGTATGCGGCTGCTGCACAGGACTTCCGAAAAAGGATGGAGGAGAAATAGGATGAGAAAGATCCTGTAGTGTTGTTGCTAGTAACTTCGGAGCCCCGAGAGAGAGCTACGGGCGGTCTTAGTTATTGGCTAAAGAGAGATTCACGTTCACTGAGGATTTGGAGAAAAGAAAAAAATCCATTGTTTCACTTGCAAATGATGATAAGAGGGGCAACTAACTCTATAGACTAACATAATTAAAAAGATAGACACGAGATAAAAAAAAAACGATTTTCCAATGCATTGCTGTAATGAGTCTTGAATTCGATCATTTGAAGCAAAATTGATGCCACATGGCCTCCGATCCGCGACGAGTTCTTGTCTTATTATGCTCAGCTCCGGCCCCCGACACCGATTAGTTGGAATCCATTCTTGAACGCCTTCTCGCCACGGATCAATAAGCCAATTTCTCCTGGGTGCCTCCAGTGGAGCCACAATACGACGACCAGCATTGGGAGAGCGTCAAAAATGTAGATAAAGGTCTCCCTCGAAAGCAGATACCCACCATTTCCTTCGACGTACTCGATCACTCGGAATAAATTTCGAATGATTATCAAGACAGCCAAAACGTATAAAGTCTGAAGGTAGACTTGCCAGCGGCACTCCGGTTGTTGTGAGCGAGCCGTTGGGATCGACCGCATTCGATAATGGAACACGCCTGCGACAACGACGAAAATGGCGAACCAGATTAATTGCAGCACAAGACCTCCAATAATGACGTTGTTGCCGGTGTCGGTCATCGATGGATTATTCTTAGCGGAGGCTAGAATCCCGCTGCCTAATAATGGTACGAGTTTTTGTGATTAGCGAATGCCCTTTAGATGAGGGTGGGAAACATGGTGCGTACCTCCGGCCAGCATGAAGAAACAAACAACATCCCCAGTTACGAATATCTTGGTCAACCATTGTGGTCTTATAATTGAATGTCCTTGTCCATCGACAAGGAGGATGATTCGACCGAGGATCATGTAAATAGAAGCCGCGAATAGTGCCGGTGCAAGCAAGATAAACATGCTCTGGATAATGTATGGTCCCAGTGTCCAGCAGCCAACCTTTTGGACTCCAGATGCAGCCCTACCAGTAAATCCAATGAATTCAACTGGAAACCGAGTCGAAGGTCAGCACCTATGTGTCTCTTCGTGGTTGACAGGATTGAAGACGGGGGGGATCCAGCGTACAGAAACATCCGATCACCAATGGAGTCAAATACCAACTCTTTGTCTTCCACATCTGTATAAAGTGGAATACGCCAGACAAAAAGAACAGAATGCAGAATAAAACGGCGGCAGCCACAGCAGGGTGGTATCGGTAGTAAGCAAACGCGGCATGCTGCCAGTCCGGGTCGCAGACGGGGCTGCTCATGGTGATTCAAGGGTAATATAACGTGCAGTAGAATAGAATAAAGGAAATGAAATAGAGTGCTTAAAGAAATGATGAAGAAGTGCTTGAAATAAAAATAAAAAGGATAGAAAGGGCCTATTGCTACATTTAAATGCAAAGGATGCATCGGTTGTTCGACAGGCTGATTTTCCCATCTCCACTCCCGGCACAGCGCCACTGGTAGTTAAACCTAAAGTGTCAACTCAAAAGCAAAAGAAAGGGTCTTTTGGTCCGCAGCTCACTACGTCGGCAACTCTTGTCTGCGGCCTCCTAGTAAATCGAATTTACCGTATACGTGGATAGGCGTATTGTTGAGTCTGGGATTGGCGAAGCTCTATGAAGCACTCCGTAGGATTTGCCTTGTCCGCGTATCCCCCCAAAGACCTTACAAAGAAGTTTGTATAAAGGGTCATGTACCCAGGATACTAACTGTTTCTTCTCCATATTCAAAAACGAAGCTGACGAATAGATTTACGTGGTTCCCGTGCGTTGACTACTATTACGAAGCCAATCCGTTGCATTCATGATAACCTAGTTCCAGAATGCGCCGCCCCCTGATCCACCCGCGTATTCCTGCCTCTCTCATTGGCTGGCCTGAAATAGCTTTGGCTCGCATTAAATTCTGTCGGACCCAAGTTGCCAAGTGATTTTGCCAGGCCCCCTTTGACATAGCCATGTGAATATACTCCGTAGTCTAGCAAAGATGCGTTCACTGTTGAAATAGACCGCTATGGCAAAAGTGAAGTGACCGCTTCAATCTGCATAGCGTTGTATCTTTACAAAAGGATCCTAGTCATCCCGGCAGTTCACTCAATGACACTATCGGTGCACCTGGATTATGTTGGCCCAAAACATTTTGGCGCTGGGTTTTGCAGAATGTGACGCCTAGTTTATTCTCGTCATGTTCCGCATTGCCATCTACTACTAACATGAACTACATGTGCAATACGAAATCTCTCTTTTTCTCTCTCTCTCTTCTTTTATCTGTCTCAGTTTTCACATCTAGAATACCATAATCTCGGGTTGGCTTAAGATGACGTCTGTATATTAGTTGAGCTCTGATCCTCCTTCAATTCTTTGCCCTATACTGGTATAGGTATCTGCTCTTGGAATACCATTGGATATCTCCTAGAGGTATTTTCTATGACATTAAGCTGCTGCCTGGGCCATACCAACCACCGCGCCCATGGTGTCCCTAAATAGGTCGATATTGACTCAACTAAAAAGCGTCCAGAGTGACCAAATATCCAGAAATCCTGTAGGCGATGCAGAAGAACGGCATGGAAAGATAATATGATGAGTGCCTCGGGTATTCGTTGTATGAGCATTTTTCCAAACCTGGCTGGCACGAGCATTGACCACGCGACGGTGAAGTGCACTTGGGTCGGTGGACTGATGCGATAGATCTCGAAAATCCACTGGAGAATCTCAATAGCCTCAAGACATATGTCTTTATCAGACTCTCCGAGATCACATTCATCAATGAGAGAGACAAGATCATCACACTCCTGAGGCTGCCGCTTACCAAGCCCCCTGGATCCCGAGAAATCGTTATACCCAACGATTCCCCTGACTATGTCCTTTACGGTCGGCCATGCCTTTTGTACTACCGCGTGCACACCTTGATGAACCGGAATGTAGGTGCTAAGTTGGTCGAGGAAAGAGTCGAGGTCGTTGCTTTGATAAGTCTCAAACATGACCTGGAGGCCAAGAAGCGAAGAATACAGAAACCAGGCGCACGAATTCTGTTGAGAGATGGCCGATTCGGACCTGTTGAACAGTGTCAACGCTCGCGTCTGGAGTTCCGTTGCTTTGTTGAGGAAGGCTTGTTGCTGTCCCCGGTGAACGGTGCTCAGGTGTGCCGCCGATAGGGCAAGAACTTGATCCATGAGAAAAGGGTTGGCGAGAGCGCATTGCATCATCACTCTGCGTATCGATGAGGGTAACGGCAGGATGCTCGCCTCCTCATGCCCAAGCCCAGGTGATTCCAAGTGGTGAAGCAACTCAAGATGTCCCATGCTGTATTCCTGGGCTCGCCACTCCTGGGTAACCCATTGCGGATACGGCAGAACTGCAGACGGCGATGGCGACGGCGACGGCGACGGCGTCAATGGTGGTGCTGCTGGTTTTGTTTGAAAGGCCCGATGAGACGGGCGTGTGTGGCGGTATGAACAGGAGCGGTTGGTGATGGAACAATTCAGGCAAATTGGAGAACTCTCGTCGCATTTCTTATGGCGCTGCTTGCATTCTCTACATCCGTGCCGGGACTTGCGGTGAGAGCTACGCATGATTCGGCCGTGTAGACGTACAGAAGGCGAGCGAAGAGTCTCAGATGGAAAAAGAGAGGAACGAATGCGTTGGTGATGAAGCTAGGGCTGCGATTTAACAAGAATGAGGAGACATCGTAAATGACAACCCGAAACTGATGAGCCACGACGAGTAATTAATTGCCTAGCAGACAAGGTGTACAGTAAGCGTATTGACGGTGTGCTCCGAAACTCCGCCACAAACTGTTCGTGTTGCCCCCGCCGCATGGTAACCCCGTATAGAGAAATATGCACCGAGGGCGAGAGAAGGGGCCCACACTTGCTTGCATTGACAAGCTTGCCTTCTTTCGTCTATCAGTTTAGTTGCCTATCTTTTATCTTACGGATGAAAAAAAAAAACATGTAGATGATAGATGGGACAAAGGAAAGGGATATAAATGAGTTGTGGTATGTTTCGAATGCTCGCTACCCTGTAAAATGATTATATAGACACGTCGTGTGAAAAACCACGCACGCTTTAAAGTCTGAAATTACCCTCCAGCAGAATATTAACCGCCTCTTCCCAGCCTCGAGAGGAGGCAATGTCAATGACGTTTCGCCCCTGATCATCCCTGGCCTCTAGGTCAACGCTGAACTTGCTACTTAATAGTTTTAGTATTCTCATATCGCCATTTTCGACGGCCTGCATGAAAGCGTTCCAGCCGCGGTACACCTTGTTGGGATTGGCGCCCTTGTTGAGGAGCATTTCCAGAATTTCGGTATCGTCGCCACGACACCTTCTGACGGCCTTGACAATGGGGAGATGCTCACCAGGAGCATTTAGATCTGCATGGCCATCGGTGATGAGGAATTCGACCATCTCTTTCATGTCTTCACGAATAGCCGTGGTCAATGGAGAGAAAACTCCGCCATTCTTATCCTCTACCGAAACACCTGCTGCGAGCAACAGCTTGACAGACTCAATCTGACCTGCCGCCACTGCCATTTCCAAGACACCTTTGTATGCGCGTGGCTCAGCAAGTACCGACAGGATGCGCCTAAGAATTGGTGGGCTTCGCACTGCCATGCACACTGGCCAATCTTGACCTCGCTTGTTGGGGTCAGCTCCTCTGGCAAGCAGGACTTCAATCATTTCCATGCGGGTTTCCCGAATGGCGGTTGTCAGGGGGGAGTATCCCTTGGGAGTTCTCTCATTTGGATCAAGGCCCTGATCCAACAGCCACGACAGCGCTTCCATATTGTTCGAGCTGACTGCCGTCTCCATGATTCCTTTGGGAGAATGCAAGTCTGCACCTGCAGTCACAAGTGGTGGCAGTAGGTGGACACGATTATGCGTAACGCACTTGAAAGCAGGATACTCGATGGCCGAGACGTTTGGATCAGCGCCACTGCTGAGCAGTAACTGGAATATGTCCATTCTATTGTCGCGAATTGACGTGCAAAGGGGAGTATAAACACCGTCCTTCTTGGCATTAGGGTCCACTCCAGCTTTCAAGAGCACGCGGACAGCCTCGATATTGTTGAGACTGGTTGCCAATTCCATGATACCGGGACATCTCTTATGGTCGGCACCGTGGCTAAGAAGCAGTTGTAGGCAAGGCGTCTGGTGTGCAGCCGGCCAAAGCATATGTTTAGGACCAGGGAGGTTCGGATCCGCTCCGTGGCTTAAAAGACTGCTCACAATGTCAACCCGACCAGCGTTGATTGCCTCGAAGAGGGCCGTCTTGCCTTCCCTGTTCTTCTCGTTTGGATCGACCCCGTAGTGGAGTAGAATGTCAATCATCCTCTTTGGTGTTTTCTTGTTGATCGATGCAATGAGCAGCGTGTTGCCATTCGGAGTAGCTTGTGACAAATCGCCACCGTACATTAGCATGAGATGCGACAAGCTGACTTTATTGGTCGTGATGGCGGATGTGAGCGGAGATTCCAACTCCGCCCCGGCCAAGAGATTCGGGTCCGCTCCGTACTTGAGAAGGGTAATTGCTCCAGAGAAAAACATCTTCTGGACAGCTGCAAAGAGCGGCGTGATACCAGCTGCGTCTGCTTCGTTGGGGTCTGCTCCGAAGAGAAGCAGGAGTCGAATACTTTCGGAATCATGGAGATTTACAGCCTCCGTCAGGGCGGCATGGGGAGGCACTCCTCTATCCAGCAACTGCTCGATCAACTTATGATTCTTTCCACGAACAGCGGAGACAATGCTGCCTCTGAGATTCTCGGCATCTGAGCCTCCCGTGCTGCGAGGCGTCCAGCGTGGCATTGTAAATGGATCAACCTTGAGCCTGACGGCCTTTGACTTTCCAAGTTCCATACCAGCCAATTCCTCTAGGAGCGCATCTGACTCTGTAGTGCCGGTGTGCGAAGATGCATCTCCAATGGTACTAGCTCGGTCAAAAGCTGGGACAACGGCAGAGTTCGCTCTCTCGTTAGATATTATCGAGCTTGGGGTAGTCATGCTATAGTGGTGAAGAATGTCGTCGGACGGGCCACGCGAAGCTGGGAAGGGCTTGTTTCCTAAGCTAGAGTCAGGGCGGCGAGAAGACGATCTTTCGCTCCACGCAGCCGAAGAAGCTAGCATTTGCTGATGCTGTCCATCAACAGCCAGCAACCCATGATTCAAAGGAGACGGACGATGACGCGACAGGTCCGGCTCGGAAGCCTTCACCTTAACGCGACCGGAGTTGTCGTCAAGCCTATCCAATGCCGCAGCCAGTCCAGTAAACCCAATACCCATACCGCGTTCAATCTTTTCGGTACCCAAGGTCCACTGGAACAACAGCGCGCTCATTCTGAGGCCTTCTTTTGTGCGTTCGAGAACCGACGTCATTTTGTCGACGTCTGTGTCTCCGAATATCTTGCCCCATCCGCGTCTCATCTTTCCCATGGTGCCCTTGCGCTCATATTCTAGGAGCTTGCTGAGCATCTGATCTAGGATATTGAAGTCTGACTGAGCAACCCGGAGCTTCTTGTCCAGTTCTACAACCACATCGGGTGGTAGTTCGGGAGTCGAGCGTCCACATTCTGCGAGGCCAGCTTCGATGGAAAACAGAATTTGGCAGGTATCAAGGAACAAGTGCGCTAAACGATCGAAGTTTGTTGAAAGTTGCTTGACTGTCGTCAGATATTCGAGCATGCGAACGGAGGTGCGATCTCCGTTAGCAGCAACGACATGACAGAGCTCGCTGCATTTGACGAGAGCTTTCGACGCCTGGCGCGACATTTTGGCAGGTTTTTTGATAGTCGGCTGCGAATTCGAAGTGGTTTCAATATTAGTGGTGCTTGCGGCTTTGGGAACCGGCGTTGCCAAAGGAGGAGTTGATTTCGGCGTGATCGGATCGATCGGGTGGAAAACAGTGACAGGCCCGGAGAGGAGCTCCTCGGTGCCTATTGTGAATGGCTCCTTCTGTGGAGTGAGAGAAAGAGCCTCGAAAAAGTCAAACTGTTGGACAGACTCTTCTTTGGGCACAACAACTGCTGGTTGATGAGTTGAAAGCATTATGCCCAGCGAAACAGCATTGCTCCAGTGGCTCGGGAATAGGGCTGGAGGGACGGCGGGAGCGGGCAGAATTTGAACACCTCAGCTATTTAACCCTATGACGGTCCGATCCAGCAAATAATCAAAACTGCACATGTTCCTTCGATTCTGAATCGAATACTAACTCACATTGCCTCATTGGCGTCCAGGCCATCATCGCATCGCACTCCAAAGTGGCCACGAGGGACAGGGATCGCCCATGTCTAATTAGTGTAGCCTCTCCACATCCTAACAATAGTCTATTCAGCTTTTCTTGGATTGGCAAATCACACTGCCCGCCCTTTGGCCTGGAATCGGCCATGTGGAGCCGAATGGTGCAGCCCACGGATAACAGCAGCAGCATCCGCGCTTCGTATTCCACAGCTCAAAGGTCAATGGCCTGCCTGTGCGTCCACTAGCAATGACTGCTGAAACACACTATCAAGACGCGAACATTTTGCTGCCTCTGCTAAGGCCGGATAATGAAAAGTCTGACGCCTCGATCCAGGGGTTTCGGGCATAGGGGGAAGGTATAGGCTTAGACTTCCAAGCCTCTCCGGCTGCTAGCAGAGACACTGTCATGCACTCCACTTGCCAGAGTCCCGCGTGATTGTGCATCTCAACTACCGAGGATGCCATCAGGCTTCCCGTCATCCGCTAGTTGAGCCACTCAACGAATGCTTGCCAGTATCGCAGCAACCCGGCCGGGGGGGGGGGGGGGGCGGGGGGGGGGGGGGGGGGGGGGGGGGGGGGA